AAAGATTTTTGCTTCAGCTATTGGAAAAGCAGTATTCTTTTCATTCTGTTTTTTTAAAAAAAACAAAAATTTCCAAATATGTTGCATATCTTGTGCCTTGTGCCTGAATCAATCAATCAATCAATCATCAGGTCTGTTCAACTCTTACTTGGCAACTGATCTCATGTCTGTCCCTTTCATCCCATGGCTACCAACGTAGGGGAAGAGCACTTAACTCTCCTTTATTTGCTCCAAATATGAAGAAATAGTAAAGAGCAGACAAGCCTTGTCGATTGCCCAGGCCCTACAATTTACTACAGTATAACCTCAGAGGAATTACTTACTCTGAGTCTAGGCATCTTTGTCTGGAATAACACCACCTCTCTCATGGGGATGTCAGGACAAATAAGTCAATATACAGAATGTATTTAGCACAGTGGTGGGAACACAGTTAACATGCAAAGCAATGTATCACCATCATCCCCCAAAACTCATACTCTTAGACCCAAACTCAAAATACAGAAAAAGTTTTGGGTACACAGTATTTATAATTAAAATTAGAAAAAAACCATAGGGGGAGCCTGGGTGGCTCAGATCCTGATCCCAGGGTCTCGGAATTGAGCCCTGCATTGGGCTCTCTGCTCCACAGAGGGTCTGCTTCTCCCTCTCCCAGTTGCCCTCCCCCCTTCTCGTGCACTCTCTCTCTCATGTAAGTAAATAAAATCTTTTAAAAAAAGAAGAAAACTATAGTCTAATTATGAAGGGATAATTAAGTAAATTATATAATTCAAAATAAGAATAGCAATAGCCAATGCTTATAAACACTTCTTATATGCAAAGTACTCTAAGAGTTTTATTTATTTATTTGACAGACAGAGATCACAAGTAGGCAGAGAGGCAGGCAGAGAGACAGAGGAGGAAGCAGGCTCCCTGCTGAGCAGAGAACCCCATGTGGGGCTCCATCCCAGTACCCTGGGATCATGACCTGAGCCAAAGGCAGAGGCTTTAACCCACTGAGCCACCCAGGCGCCCCTACTCTAAGTGTTTTAAATGTACTAATACATTCAATCCTCACAGCAGCCCGAGGAAGTAGGTAGTATAATAATTCCTTTTTCACTATATGAAAACTGATGCAGAGAGAGGTTAAGTAAATTGCCCCAGATAGTGGTGTGGCTGAGGTATAAACCTAGGCAGACAGGCTCCAGAGTCCATGTTCAAAGCCACTATACCTTGCTCTCTCTCCAATGAACTTTAAAAATTCTTTCTTCAACTTTAAATATTATAGGAAACAGGAGTTTTAATAATAATACAAGGATATTTGTATGTTAAAATGCTGTGTATAAAGGCAAAATTGTAATATACAGTATCGTATCATCAGTAATGTACATGTCTTTTGTATGGTGGGATTAGGGAAAAAATATGTCCTTGCTTATGCTCTCCTATACTGTACAATTTATACAATTAAAATGTAGTATGTTTAAGATCAGAAGATAATTTCCAAAATAAATTCTTATTCTATGTTAAACATCTGAACTCCCGCTTGGAATTCAATTCTGTTGCATTTCAGCCATATCTATATGATAAACCTTAATGGATCAAGATTATAATCTAACATCCTGACTCCTATACCTAGATGACTAGTAAAAATAAATAATGGGAATAATGACCAGGAGAGAAAGATGAAACAATATGCAGAGGTAAATCTCTTCATATAAAAATTTGATAACTATAACAAATAACATGGAGGACATGGGGAGATGGAGAGGAGAAGGGAGTTGAGGGAAATTGGAAGGGGAGGTGAACCATGAGAGACTATGGACTCTGAAAAACAACCTGAGGGTTCTGAAGGGGCGGGGGGTAGAGGTTGGGGGAACAAGGTGGTGGGTATTAGGGAGGGCACGTATTGCGTGGAGCACTGGGTGTGGTGCAAAAACAATGAATACTGTTATGCTGAAAAGAAATAAAAAAAATTTTTTTGATAACTATAGAAAGGCATTAAGGAACAGAAAAAAAGAGTACTAATCACAGAGCAGAAATCAGCTGTATTCAGAAAGAAAAACTTTGGTCCCTAAATTTTTACTTACTAATGTGCTATATAGATTAGAGAATTTGTAAAATACTCTGTGTTATAAATCTGAAATATTCTGAGTGTTATGTTACGTTAAGTGTTATGTTAAGAAAACATCCCTCATAAAGAAAGATAAAGGCAAAATAAGAAGCAACTAAAAATGCTAACATTTTTTACAACACAAATGAGAAATAACGCAAGACAAAGGAATCTGACAAATGAAGCAAAGCAGTGGACTAAAATTAAATTGTATCTAGGTAATGCCAGATGGTGCCTCAGGTGCAGGCCATGTGTCATGTATTAATAATATTATAATATATAATGTCAAAAGCAAATGGTAATCAGAGACAGAGAGACATGTGACTTTGCAATTTTTATCTCGGGAATGGTGAAAATGGGCTCTCAAATAGGTTTTTGGAGTCAGATTTCTTTGGGAAGGGACTCAGTTATAAACAAAAGGAACATACAGATCTGAATGGTCCAGAATCCCACTGGCACTGCCATAACCAACATAAATAAACCAAGTGCTCATGAATCTATACTACCTCATTGTCACCACAGAGGCACGCAAGAACAGGGACTGGGAGAAAGCAAAGCTCATTATCCTGATGGCTTCTGTGATATTGCCTCTATTGGTTAGCAATAATACCTACCTAATTTCTCAAGTGTTTTTCTGGTGCCCTGGCTACTGCCAAAAAAAAAGGTCAAACCTTCCACAAGTAACAAGATTTAGGAAAGGAAGTCATTAACTTTGCAGACTCATGACATTCAAAATGATCCTGAATATAACTGGTCTCTAAATATTGCTTATAAATTTTTACACTTTTATACTCAGCCTTCATGAGCAACATCTCCCACTGTCCTCAGCAGCTATTTCAAATCTCAGGTGTTACTCTTTTCACTCAACAGAGCTTACCTTTTAATTAACCCTGAAAACTGAAGCAAACGAGTAATTGCCTCAATTTCCCATCTGCCTTAACCACAGTGGAACTCACCTCTATCTCTATCTACTCTTCCTTCTTCCCTGCAGTCTCCTCAGGGGAAGGGTGACCATTCTCCTATTCAAGACAGCACTTCCTAACCTCCTCTAGGTACTTTGCTTAATCAACTCCTCAGAAAACTATATCTGTTTTATCTCACTTGGGAAAGGGAGGCAACAGATAAAAGCAAGTTCCACAAATATTATTAACTAAGCCCTTTTTCTTAGCTCCTAAAGTTGCAAACAAATAAGCCAAACTGTGTATCACACTGGTTACATTACTTCCCACAAAAAGGACTGCCTTGAAGTGACTTCAGAACACAGAATTTTGATATTAAAGGACAAAATGATCCATAAACAATTTAAAATTTTTAACTTAATTTAATAATTTCATAGTTTAACATAATATCAAGGTTGATATTGTGAAGATATTTACTTTGTAAAAAAAAAAAAAAAGTAATGTTCTTACATATGATATATTGTGGTTGAATAGGAGAATATTTTCAACTCCAGGACATGCATGCTTAAATATTTAGGGGTAAACTGTCATGATGTCTGTAACTTACTTCATTTATCAGAAATATATTCTGCCATATTCCAGCAGTCATGCTCAGCAGGGAAATCTGCTTCTCCCTCTCCCTCCCCCTGCTCATGTTTTCTCTCTCTCTCTCTCTCACTCTCTCTCTCAAATAAAGTCTTTTTTAAAAAATAAGTAAGCAAAATTTTAAGAAAAAAAAATTTTAAGTCCTATTATTTCTCAACACTTAAAGTCAACCTCTGGATGGAACACCTGATTGTGACGGCAAAAGAAAATGTTAGCACCCTAATGATTTAAAAGGAAATACCTGATAAAGGCAAAACATAGAGACGAGGAAAGGAAAAACAGGGGTGCTTATTAATTCACTTTATATGAAGGAGTATGAAGGAACTGGCTACAGAGAGAACAGTTCATATACATTATAATTATATTTGATATGTAAAAAATAATACTGATTATGAATTTCCAGAAAGAGAAGATGCAATAGAAAAAGGAAAAGTAGTGTCAATGAACTAAATCCTCATCTTTCATATGAGAAAGTCAACAAATTAATCTGATAAACAGTATTCTTTACATCAAAGTTATGTCTTGAACACAAACTCACCTGTTGAGGGTTCAGAAGACATAATATTATATCTAGACTAACCCACCCCCACACCTCTTCTGGATGTTGATTATGTGTGCTTATGTGCACAAAAGTGCATGAGAATGTACTTTTGTACAGAAATACTGTCATTTCTAAGATTACATTGTGAAAGAATGTATGCATGTTTGCACATACATGTATACACTTTAACTAAATGCACAACTTTATTTCAGCATTTCTGTCTAAAAGTTAAAAAAAAAAGAAAAAAATCACTAGAATGCAAGAGGTAGTCAGGAAAGGGAATATACTGGTTAACTGAAAACTGAGATTAACTGAAATTTAATCTATTCTTACAAGGTTTGTAAAACATTCCTCATAGCAATCTACTATCCTATAGAAAAATGGCATCCCCTCTCACTATACAAAGGTTAACACTAATCTTAATGAAGTGAGAAGTGCAACTGATCTTAAGAACTACTGAAAGAGTAGTGGAAGGAGGAGGCACTAAAAGTATTTGAAAGCTATTTCAAAAGTCTTAGGATGATTTCACAGGAAAAATCAGATTAAGTAAATACATGTTGGTGAACCTCACAAATCTGAAGGACAAAGTAACAGAAGAAAATATAGGATATCATACTGTTACCATCAGAAAGAACTTTCTAACAATTAAAACTATGCAACAACAGAATAAACCGGCTATAACAGCCTGATCCTCCATCGCTCTATTGTTTAAATAAAGACTAGAAATCATCCATCTGTAATGTTGAAAACTGGTGAAAAACTGAACTAGATAATCCCTGAAGTAATATGTGTCATTGTAAGAGTTCTAAACTAATAAATTTTAACTTACCAACATCCATTGCAGTTTCCATGAAGCTTTTCTGTCGTGAAGCAAACTCTGCAAGCAATTTCTGCTGCCTCTCTCTAGCCTTTTGTCGCCTAGATTAAACAGAAATAAAGTGATATGTATCAGACGTGTTTAAGACTTACTAAATTTCAGGAGTGTATACTGTATGAAAAGCCTCTGGCACACAGTTGAGGACAATCTGAGAGAATCTTTAAGTAGATTCCCCGCTGAGCGGGTATCCCAATGTGGGTCTTGATCTCACAACCCATGAGATCATGACCTGAGCCAAAACCAAGAGTCAGATGCTTAACCAACTAAACCACTCAGGCACACCTCCACTGCTGAAAGATGGTTTGAAGATCACTGGCTTAAAAAGGTAAAAATAAAAGCCAAGATTTACTTTAAAATGTGAAATAATTAAAACAGAAAATTTGGATTTTCAACAACACAATTTCCTAAGTATATGTCAGTTGGTAGCAAGAGAAAATTCTTTCTAGCAAGGAAACCACAATTTAACCCCAGGCACAAATAATAGCAAACTGGTTGCTAGATGAAGCTAGGATGTTTAGATATGAACAAAATCTAAAAGATAAGAATAGTAAGATTTACTGTTACATTAAGAATAGGGCTTTCCTATAAAAGACCTCAATGTGAGGCAGGAATCCATCAGAATCCTAGAGGAGAACATCGTCAGTAACCTCTTTGACAACGGTCACAGCAACTTCTTTCAAAATATGTCTCCAAAGGCAAAGGAAACAAAAGCGAAAATGAACTTTTGGGACTTCATCAAGATCAAAAGCTTCTGCAAAGCAAAGGAAACAGTCAACAAAACAAAGAGGCAACCCACAGAATGGTAGAAGATATTCCCAAATGACAGTACAGACAAAGGGCTGATGTCCAAGATCTATAAAGAACTCCTCAAACTCAACACACACAAAACAGATTATCACATCAAAAAATGGGCAAAAGACATGAACAGACACTTCTCCAAAGAAGACATACAAATGGCTAACAGACACATGAAAAAATGTTCATCATCACTAGCTATCAGGGAGATTCAAATCAAACCACACTGAGATACCACTTTATACAACTTAGAATGGCCAAAATTAACAAGACAGTAAACAACATGTGTTGGAGAGGATGTGGAGAAAGGGGAATCCTCTTACACTGTTGGTGGGAATGCAAGTTTGTGCAGCCACTTTGGAAAACAGTGTGGAGATTCCTTAAGAAATTAAAAATAGAGGGTGCCTGGGTAGCTCAGTTGGTTAAGCAACTGCCCTCAGCTCAGGCCATGATTCCAGAGTCCTCGGATCAAGTCCCACATCAGGCTCCCAGCTCCACGGAGAGTCGGCTTCTCCCTCTGACTTTCTCCCCTCTCATGCTCTCTCTCACTGTCTCTCTTTCTCAAATAAATAAATAAAACCTTAAAAAAAAAAGGAATTAAAAATAAGAGCTTCCCTATGACCCTGCAATTGCACTATTGGGTATTTACCCCCAAAGATACAGATGTAGTGAAAAGAAGGGCCATCTGTACCCCAATGTTCATAGCAGCAATGGCCACAATCGCCAAACTGTGGAAAGAACCAAGATACCCTTCAACAGACAAATGGATAAAGAAGATATGGTCCAACTGTTGGTGGAAATGCAAGCTGGTGCAGCCACTCTGGAAAACAGCATGGAGGTTCCTCAAAAAGTTGAAAACAGAGCTACCCTATGACACAGCATTCGCACTACTGGGTATTTACCCTAAAGATACAAATGTAGTGATCCGAAGGGGCACATGCACCCCAATGTTTATAGCAGCAATGTCCACAATAGCCAAACTATTGAAAGAACCTAGATGTCCATCAACAGATGAATGGATAAAGAAGATGTGGTAGATACACACAGTGGAATACTATGCAGCCATCAAAAGAAATGCAATCTTGCCATTTGCAACGATGTGGATGGAACTAGAGGGTATTGTGCTGAGCAAAATAAGTCAATCAGAGAAAAACAATTATCATATGATCTCCCTGATATGAGGAAGTTGAGAGGCAAAGTGGGGTTTGGGGAGTAGGGAAGGAAAAAATGAAACAAGATGGGATTGGGAGGGAGACAAACCATAAGAGACTCTTAATCTCACAAAACAGAGGGTTGCTGGGAGGAAAGGGGTAGGGAGAAAGTGGCTGGGTTACGGACAATGGGGAAGGTATGTGCTATGGTGAGTGCTGTGAAGTGTGTAAACCTGGTGATTCATAGACCTGTACCCCTGGGGCTAATAATACATTATATGTTAATAAAAAATAAAAATTTTTTAAAAAGATATGGTCCATATATACTATGGAGTATTATGTCTCCATCAAAAAGGATGAACACCCAACTTTTGTATCAGCATGAACAGGACTGGAAGAGATTATGCTGAGTGAAATAAGTCAAAGAGAGAGAGTCAATTATCATATGGTTTCGCTTATTTGTGGAGCATAAGGAATAACACAGAGGACATGGGGAGATGGAGAGGAGAAGTGAGTTGGGGGAAATTGGAGGGAGAGACGAACCATGAGACTATGGACTCTGAGAAACAAACTGAGGGTTTTGTAAGGGAGGGGCGTGGGAGGTTGGGTGAGCTGGTGATGGGTATTATGGAAGGCACGTATTGCATGGAGCACTGGGTGTGGTGCATAAACAATGAATTCTGGAACACTGAAAAGAAAAAATAAATAAATAAAAATTTAAAAAAAAGAATAGGTCTTTCCTAAAAGAGAATGAGCAGAAGCCAGAGATTTCCCAGTTTCTACTAAGATGTCTTTCTTCTAAGTTTAGTTTGTTTCAAGTAAAAAAAAAATAAGAGTCTCAAATATGACAAAGAATAAAACTATATTCCAAACCTAAGCATAAATATTCCTTTGGATTAATTCATCAGTTATGAATTATTTATTATTTAGGCTATGCAATGATGAATTATTGAACTCTACATGTGAAACTAATGATGTACTATATGGCTAACTGAATTTAATTTAAAAAAATTTAAATATATCCTCAAAGGACAAAAATTTGCACCATAGAAGAAATGGAAACAAAGATGTGCTAGAGATGCTCGAAGCATTTTGTGGACCTCCAAAAATGCTGTCAGAAACAATAGCATTGACAGAATACAAGTTTGGTCTCCTACATCACTACTCTGTAAATTTATAAGTTTCTTATGTTTCTTTAATTAAAACAATCAGTTATGCCACTCTATAAATCACCTTTACATGTACATTTAGAGTATATCCATAAAAAATATTTCAAATAATAATTCCATGTACCAAACATAAGGAAGCCACAAATGTAATTGCTTAGCACTAGTATTAAAATGCATGTCTACTCTCCCACAACCACATAAGCCTAGAAGACTGTAAGCTCCAGATAATTATGACTGTAACCTTGATTTTAGCCTGTGAGACTGTAAGTCGAGAACCCTGTCATACCACACCTACATTTCAATATACATTAACAGCGAGTAAATAAACGAATGCTGTTTTAAACTGTTTAAAGAAAAAAATTCTATCCTCACTTTCTGTGATTTGCATAAAAAAGGTATCAATTATTTTTCCCTTGTGAATTTTTTATTAACTTGGGTAATTCTTTTCTAAAACTGGGCATAAATGTAAATAAAAATGAAAAGACAAACAAGTTCTGGCAGATTTCATACAACCCAGGAATTTTCCATTACTATACCAGAGGTGGAAACACTGAGGTTGCATATTGTTATAACTGTCTAAAGGTTTCCTTCCTATTTGTATCTTATTTTCTATGGAGTTACTATTACGGAAGTGATGCCAAGTTTGTCCATAGGTGAGGTAGTTGGGACTGTATCACCATCAAGTGTTTATAAACTGTCTGGCCTTTATTAAATAAAACTTAATCCAAAATCCAAAATAAATTGAGAAAAGACATGAGAAGCATAGTGAGATTCAAATAAATTCGTCTTAATCCTTCACCGTCTGCTATAGAATTAGCTTCAAGGACTTCTCAATATCATCAACATTACCACTCAAAGGAAACAAAGCCCAAAAGGGAGAAAAAAAAAAAAAACACCTTTTTTCAGACTATTATTTATTATAACAGCATTAGAGCCTTTGCAAATATGGTATCTGATCTACTCCAGTATCACATCTATTATGAGTAACTGTTACAAAATAAACCAAAATAACCAAATAAAATAAACTTTGATTCACTAAAAGTTTATCTTCTTTAAAAAAAAGACATTATTCTAAGTGTGTAAACCTGGCGATTCACAGACCTGTACCCCTGGGGATAAAAATACATTATATGTTTATTAAAAATTTTTAAAATTTAAAAAAATTTTAAATAAAAAAATAAAAGACATTATTCTATAACCAAGAAAATATGACCAATTTAAGAGGTTAATAAAAATAAGAATTTTACCTCATTTTTCAACCTTCTAATTTTATCGGTAGATCTATTAAATCTTAGGCAATTACTGATTCAAAATTAACGAACTGTCATATAAATTATATTTTAGTTATTTATAACAACTCCTATTTATGAAGTACTGTGAGAAATAAAACTCTTCGGGGCGCCCGGGTGGCTCAGTGGGTTAAAGCCTCTGCCTTCGACTCGGGTCATGATCTCAGGGTCCTGGGATTGAGCCCGGCATCGGCCTCTCTGCTCGGCGGGGAGCCTGCTTTCTCCTCTTTCTCTGCCTGCCTCTCTGCCTACTTGTGATCTCTGTCTGTCAAATAAATATATAAAATCTTTAAAAAAAAAAAAAAAAAAACTCTTCTACATTCTTTTTTTTCTAAGATTGATGGATTGATTTGAGAAAGAGATAGTGCAAGGGAGGGGCAGAAGGAGAGGGAGGAGGAGACAGCCCAATGCAGGGCTCAATACCAGGACTCTGGGATCATAACCTGAGCTGAAGGCAGATGCCTAACCAACTGAGCCACCTAGGCACATTCTCCTACATTCTTCATCTACTGAAGGCTTTTATATATACTTTTAATATAAATTATCTGTAACAAATTTAATTGCATCAGAAATGAAGTACAACTATATATGTGATTTAAATTGCTCCTGATACAGTTACCAAAGGATAACCTCCTAACTACTGAATCAAATGGAACTGCCAATCTTACCTGAACTTCTGTAGTGTAATCTCACTGTTTCTTCCCTTCTCAACCCCCTTGAACACCACTCTCTACAGTGTTCCTCCTCTTTCACTCTAGCCATCCCTTTCCAGTCACCTTTAGAGGTATTCCTTTCTCAGTCATTCCCTTTAATGTTTTTTTCTTATTCTATAAAAGTTTTATAGTAAGTGTTCTCATTTCTTACTATACACACTCTTCCATATAAGCCTTTAACTACTTACCTATATGCCCACATCTAAAGCGCTAACTCAGAATTCTCCCCTAAGTCTCAAACCCTTTATCTGACTGGACGTCTTCACCTGGATGTCCTCTTTAAATTCAGTAATGGACAAAATTGAGCATGATCAACTTTACTGCTAAGCCTAAGCATCTCTTATCTTGGTCCCCATCCTCTCCTATACTGGTAAACAGGAACATTATCCAAGAAAGATTTTTATTTTTAAATACAAATATTACAATTTAACAGGGGCAGCTAGCTGGCTAGGTTGGTAGAGCAAGCAACTCTTGATCTCAGGGTCATGAGTTTGAGCCCCACATTAGGAGTAGAATTCACTTAAAAAATTCTTTTAATTTAAAAAAAAATTTAAGTACATTATGATTTAACAACAAATTAAAAGCAACCTGAAGTTCTAAAAGCTAGAGCTATAAGTATGTTTTGAAACAATTACTTGTTCAATAACTAGTGATCATTTGTTGGAAAGATTGGAAAAGGCTAAAAAAACAAAAAACCAAAACAATCAAATTTTTATTCTGAGAAATATTAGGGTATTTTTTTTTAATTTTCTATTCTCATTTAAAGTTGAATTGAGGATAGTTTTTTAAAGAAGCAGAATTGTTAGATAACCTACTAAGAGCAATTTTTCTAAAAGGGGCTGCCTACAAGTTTAGGGTAATAATTTAATGCTGGGGTCAGCATTCTTTTCATCCCCAACTAACTCAAGCATAATACATGCCCAAGCACTGACTGTGTTTGGTTCCCTTTATCTTACAAAGGAATCAGCTATGACTATAGATGTTAAACATCCAGGTGATTAGCCTCAGATGGCCAAAAAAGGAGATCTATCAAATCTTCAACTGTACCAGACAACATGTTTAAAACATCAAAATAAAAATTACCTTTCTTCTTTGTCCAGTGTTTTCTTTTCTGCTGCAGTGATTTTTTTGGGTGGTACAGGAGGGGTCACTTTTCTACATATCTCTTCGATGATGCGCTTGTTCATTCTGCTTTGCAATGCAGCTTTTAGTAAAATTCTTTCTACTGCAGTTATACCATCTCCATGATTATATTTAGGAATTTCTGGTTGGATTAAAATTTCTATGTCATCAAGCCAAGGAGGATAGTAGGAGTTTTGTTTTCCTGAGAGTTTGTGATGAAGTTTAATTAACAAAGACAATATGCTTTCTTTAATTTCCAAAATGGCTGTAGTTAACTGTGGAGCCGAACCAGGAGCAGACCATTTACTTGAAGTTTTGGGACGAACCACCTGATTTGCTTCACTGCTACTGCGATTGATGATCTCTTGAAACTTCTTTCTACGCTCTGCTACTAAGCTGAAAACTTGAGCTGTACCAGAATTCTACCGTTAAAAAAGAGAAAGAAAATCAAGAGAAGTTATTCAGTGTTAAGTGTAAAAATATGTTAGCACTATAATGTTCAAAGTTTCCTCTGAGGATTTATTCAATAGATTTGTCCTTTGAGTAAGTCTATCCCTTTACCTCTCTTAAATATATTTAGTCTCATTCAATCTGGAAACAATTCTGAGGAGAAAGATGGCTATTCACAATAATACCTCTTTCTCAGCCTCCTAGGCCTATCTACCAGGAAAAACAGACAGCCTGAGTAGTATATATAGCCACATTAAAGAGGAATCATACACTAAGTTCCTCACCAGTTTACAGGAATAAAAGATGTCCCACCACTATTCATTAAGACTACTATATTCTTCGAATATAACATTGTATGTCAACTATACTTCTACTAAAAAAAAGAATACTATACTCTTTACTAACTTGCTACATTTTCTAGTTAAGTAAATTATAAATTTTTTTAGTTAAGTAAATTATAAATTATAAATTTTTTCCTAAATTGATGGATCTGAACTACTAATTAATTTCATTTCTAAAGAACTTCAAAGTTTGAAAATTACTTCTTTTTTTTTTTTGAAAATTACTTCTAACACACAGTTACTAAAAGGAAATATAAAGATGAAAAACCAAACTGATTTGTGTCATATCTGAATACCACTATAATTTGTTATTTGAACAAATTTTAAATATTTCTCTCAATAATTTATCTTCTAAATAGTCTTTTGTTCAAGCAGTCAAGCTGCATCAGAGCTCTTAGAAATCATCTTTTAATTAGGATCTGAGTCAATTTAATGGATTTAATTTTTTTTTAAGCAAGCACTGAAAGGATGCTCCAGTATCAGTTGAGCTTTTATGAGCTAAATTATAGTATACACTATTTTTTAACATCCAAACTATTTTTCAAAGTACTCTGTACCAACATTAGAGGCAAAAGCTGCTTCTTATTAAGATTTCAGTTTAATCAAAATTCTTATGGTGTTCACAGTAAAAATACGTTGTCAAAGGCAAAGAAAGCTCCTATAAATGGACCCTACTAAGAGAAACATCTGATGCAGTGCTCTCTACCCACAAAAATAAATTGTACAGATTAGAGATGATTAAGTTTAGTTACTTGGCATGTCATTTTAAGATTTTTCATTTCTGCCTTTTAAAAATTAGTTAATTAGCTACATGCAATGAAAAAGGTGGTTTTCAAACTAAATCCAAATACACAATATATTAAGATTTGTGTGGGCTTATTTTATCAAAGTTAATTGCCTTAGAAGCAAAAAAAAAAAGAAAAGAAAAGAAAAGAAACTATAAATGGACATGCTGCCAGCAATTAAAGATTAAATTTATTTTGATTTAGGAAACATTCATTTTTAAGATGTTAGTAACAATGCTAAATGCAAACAGACCTAAATGTGCTGTTTATAATTTGTCCAAAATCCTAAGAAATACACACTATTAAATACTATGTATTTTTTTAACTTCAGTAATATGAATTTTCTTTAAAATTAAACCTAAATCACTATATAAAAACACACACACAGTAAACTTTTTTTTAATTTAACCATATTAAACACACACATATACACACAAATACTTCAAAGTGTTTTTCCGATTTCCAGTTAAAGCCATATTGCTAGTTAATGCAAATATTATGTACATCTACCTCTCTTTGAAGAACTTTTGGCCTTCGTGAACTCTGGCAGATTAAAGGAAAAAGATGGGTGAGGAAGAAGTTGCTTAGATATATAATAGGAAACAAAAGACAATTTAAAGTTACCTAAAACCACATTTTTCTTTTGAGTATCATAGGATGATCTAAACAATATACCCCAACATAACATAGAGTCTTTCCTTTTTATCTTTCTCTCTTCTACACTTACTTGTAAAGAACTCAAGCTGTCAGAGCTGGTACTTGCAAGTGAGTCTCTCTTCACTTCCGGAGCAGTCTCTGGAACTCTCACCCTAACATAGTTTATAAAGTGTCGCATGTTTGACACTAAGTTACTGCCAGGAAACCAACTGTCGTGACAACGTTCTGGTCCACACACTGATGCCTAAAACATGAACATCATGAATATGAAACCTTGTCAAATCTGCTCTAACATACAGAGTAGATGTAACCAGCCCAAACAATCATCCACTGCCTGTCTTATTTCCAAATCCTTTACAGTCTCATCTTGAATATATATATTATAAAATGCTAATAAACACAAATCCAAACATAAAATACAAGAATAAATTTCTCAATACTAATATGGGTAAGTCCAATGGAAATCAGCTAAATTTCTCCTGAAAAAAATGCATTTTTCAATCTGGAAATACTTAACAGTACAGAATATTTTTCAGCATCTATTAGTAATAACTCATAATAGAGTCAAGTAATCCTAATGTGGACTAATTGCAGAAGAAAGTCTGAAAAATCAAAGTCTGACCTAGTCTTAGGGAAATATTAATGATCTTTGAATATCTACGGAAGAATATATGTTGACTCAACTTAGACAACAACATACTGCCTAGTCTTTTTACTTGTTTATTTTTGCTGTTACTATGCTGTGCTATATTTTGTCTTTTTGGAGAGAAGGGATAAAGGGAATCTTACACTTGTAAAATCAATTTCTAGTAACAACTGTTTTTATGGAAATGATACTTCTAAAGTCCTATAACATATTAACAACCTGTATTCTTGAATACTTTAAAAATTCTCCCATATTTACTTCATATACTTAAAACCTTCCCAAAAAGAATTTGCTACTCAAAAATAATCCCTAATCAAATTATTAGGAATTCTAGATGGAAATCCTAACGTAAGAATTATTAGTCAGTAGTCAATGCTATCAGCATAACACCAAAAGTACACTAACCCCTTTTCTTAGATCTACATTTTATGAATTATAAATTTCAAATTCAATAATATCATAAGTAGAGGGAAACCTCTAAAAGAATATATATACTTGAAGATCAAAAAGGGCCTTTTCCAGTAGTTAAAAATATCTTCTGTGTATGATGAATCCATAAATACATTTCCAGATGACACACTACCTTTGTTAAGGCATTTTATAATTTTAATATTTAAAAACATAAGAAACTAACTTACCTCTTCATCTGATTCCTCTTCAGCTGAATTTTCAAGTCCTAATTCAATCAGATACAAAACCATGCAGAGTACGTGTTCTGACAGATTTTGATGATCCATCAAAATCTTTAAAGAGGGAAAAAATGCCTCATAATTACTTTTTCTGCACAATATATTTTACCCAAAAATATGTTGTTATAGATGAAAATGACATAATAATATATATATAAATAAATGTACAGCATGATCAGAAAATAAGTAAAGCTACATCTTAGTAAAAAGACAAACTAAAATCAAAAGAACAGGTTCCTTTTCAAGATCACACAGAATTTTAAACAATATCTAGAAATACTGGTTCATGGATTCCTAAAGGTAATACATTAAGTAGTCCACTAAATCCATCATTTTATACTAGTATCTAATAAAATAATTTAACAAGAACGTTTTGCATCCTCGTTTGCTGATACTCTTTCTCTTGATGACAAAAATACCAGATAAGTAAGTGCAGTAAATAAGATAATTCATGCAAATGTATTTAGCATAGCACCTGGCATGTAACTGGAAGCATAATAAATATTTATGGAATATTAATGTTCTTAAAATGTCTCTAAAATTAAAGTTCCCAGCCTGAGTATTTTGTGCAGATGAGTATATATATGTATAAGTATGTGGTTTATATGGGTGAGAAAGAAAAAAGGGATGCAACTAGGTAAGAGAGGCTTCTCTAAGGAAACATCGATAAATCTGACTTTATGTGGATTACACATTGCAAGCTTTACATAGCTTATGCAGGATTTCAGGGCTAACCTACAATAATCATTCATTATATATGACGCAACAAACTACTACCTGGAAGATACCTAAAATATCCTAAGAAAAAAAACGGCCTGGCAGCCATCATGTTGTCCTCACTATAAGAAACCCTTCTGGCCAAATGATGGAAGGGGTACAAAGAGGAGGTTCTATGGGAATACCTTGCTAGCTGCAAGAGAGTACAAAAGAGGACATTCTAGAATGGGCCTCATAGAAACTGCCCAAATGGCTGGGAAGGCTTAAAAAAGTACTTGTCACCTAAGAGCTAATTTATTCGGACTAAAGAACAAAGACTTTCAGTTAGCTGCCTTTCTAATGTTTATTTTGACTACTAAGAAGGCTTTTCTGTTCATCTTTGGCACAGTGGTGAAGACAGTAAACTTTCATAATCTTTTAAAAACCTGTTTTATACAAATTCTGTATATACCTAGCTATTTGACCTTGAGCAACAGATTCTGGCCTTAGTTTTCTCATCTTTATAACTGGAACAACAGATCAGAATTATTGTGAGGATTATACAAGGTAACATCTACAATTTGTGCAGTACAGTATCTATCAATTGGTGTTCCACAAACAGTAGGCAGGTAGTGCAGATGGTGGGAGGAACAGCGTCAGGAGGAGATGACTGTAGGCTGGGAGGCAACAGAGATCATCCTTTCTAATCCACGATTTACAGAGAGGAAACCAAGGCTCAGCCACACACCCAGCTAGTATGAACAACACTAGAACAGATTTCAGACTCCCAACTATGACCTATCATTACTATACTGCCTCTTCTTGATAAATAAAACATTACTAACTAAACTCAAATAAATTTTGGCTTGAAATCTTATGATGGTGAATCCTACAGTTTCAAATGAGTAACCTAAAAGCTAAGAAAAAAATGACTAAGAATTATTTTCTGAGTTTTATTAACATATTCTATATTAATGTTTTTTAACATTATCTGAAACTGGGTAAGATGAATAGTTTCCCACAAAGAATGGTGTAGTTACTCCACTTTCAACTTAGAATTCACATATATGTGTTTATGACATATCCTCACACCCCTTTAATATGAATAGTATTTAGTATAAATACACTTTGCTTTATAAATAGTACTTTTATGTAAATATTATCTGTTAACACTTTTATTTGAAAATTATGGAAATTAATTCTAATCTGATTCTTTCTATTCAAATTACTACTGTACCTTGTAAAGCAGAGTGAATAGCACAATGTGTAAAGTTTTACAGTGCAAAAGTCTCATGAGACCTTTATAGCTGGGATGCAGTGGCGTCCTTTTCTTATAGGGAGGCCAGGGATTTCCAGGGAATTTTCCACTCTGTTTTAAACTGTAAAAATAAAGCAAAACTAAAATTAGGTGATAGATTTAAGATTAAACTGTGGTTTAAATAGTTTTCTATAATTTTTTTCATATTTTTCTATGCAGTACCATTTTTAATTAAATTGCTCAAAAATGCCAAACAGATAGCTATTCTTTCATAATAAACATGTTGTATAGAATAAAAATGAGTAGGGAGACCTAAGCTGAAAACTAGAAAAAAGAAATATGAGGGGCACCTGGGTGGCTCAGTGGGTTAAAGCCTCTGCCTTCGACTCTGGTCATGATCCCAAGGTCCTGGGATCGAGCCCCACATCGGGTTCTCTGCTTGGCAAGGAGCCTGCTTCCACCCTCTCTCTCTGCCTGCCTCTCTGCCTACTTGTAATCTCTGTCAGTCAAATAAACAAACAAAATCTTAAAAAAAAAAAAAAAAGGCACTAACAATGTGATTACCAATGATTTCAAAGTCCTTGAGCAGGCAGATCTCAAGGTATTAGGCTCATACAAGGTTTAGAGATGGAACTGAGATTCCACATAAAGCTGACACCTTTGAAAAGCTTCACCCTCAAATAACAGCAGACTCAAAACACAAAAGGCAAAGTCTGAGAGAATTACACAAGAAACTGACAAATTTACAAACATAATAAAGGATATTAACACATTTCTAACAGAAAGCCTAAGAAAATAAACTGATTAGGATGTTGAAGACTATTTTTAAAGATTTATTTATTTATTTGAGTGAGAGAGTATGTGCATGTGGGGAGGAGGAAGGGGAGAGAATCTCAAGCAGACTCCCCACTGAGCACAGAGACACACGGGGCTTGACCTCATAATCCTCTGATCATGACCTGAGACAAAATGAAGAGTCAGACACTTAACTAAGCCACTCAGGGGCCCCAGGATTTTGAAGGTTTTTAAATATCATTAATAGGCTTGAACCAAAGACATTTAAAGAACATCCAATAATTAGAGAATACATATAATCTTAAGTGCATTTAGATTATTTAGGGAAATTTACAAAGTATTAGAATTGAAAGTAAATTTCAAAAAATACCAAAAGAATGGATATATGGGCCACAACCACTTGTCACAAAGCAAATAAAATTAGAAATCCACTAAATGATAACCCAAAACTTCAGACATGTAGACATTTTATAACACAATGCTCTTAGAAATTCACACATAATTAAAATCATAATAGAAAAATTTAAAATTTAGAACTCAAACTATACAGAAAAAAGCTGTGAAATACAAATTCAGTTGTAGAATACAACTAAAGCAGTACTTAGAAGGAAACTCCCAGTATTAAATGTGTTTGTTTTTGTAAAATGTCAAAAACTAAGTGTATAAGGGAAAAAATCCGAACTAAATTGAAAGGAGATAATAATAAAGAAGAAAAAAGTACAAAATAGAAAACAAGGGGGAAAAGGAAGAAACAAAATCAAAGTTTATTCTTAAAAAAAAATAGTAAAACTGGCAGTCCTCTGATAAGATGATGAGGAATAAGAAACACCAAACACAAATAAATAAAAGGAATGAAAAAAGGCAAAGACAATTTTTTAATTACTATATATTAAGACAAAATGTTTCCTAGAAAAATATAACTTGACCATCCCTTTCAAAAAGAAATTAAAATCCTAAGACTATAAGCTTTAAAGAAAGTGATTTATTTTTAAAATTACAACCCCCTCAAAAAAAAAAAAAAAAATGAGGCCAGGTAGTTGATACGCAAGTTCTGTCAAAACTTCAAGAAATATCTACCTAAGTAAGAATGAAGCTGGACCACTTATATACATACCTTATACCGTATGTAAAAATTAACTCAAAATGCATCAAAGACTTAAATACAAGAGCTAAAACTATAAAACTCTTAGAAGAGAACATAGGCATAAGTCTTTGTAACTTGGATTAAGCAATAGATACGACACCAAAAGCACAAGCAACAAAAGAAAAAACTAGATAAATTGAACTTCATTAAAATTAACTTTTGTGCATCAAAATACATTCAAAAAGTGAAAAGATAACCCGCAACCCACAGAATAGTAGAAAATATTTACAAATCCTATTTCTGGTGTTACTAGTCATAATATATAAAGAGCTCTTAAAATTTAATAGTGAAAAGATACTCCAATTAAAAATGCACAAAGGATCTGGACAGTTCTCCAAAGATGATACACAAATGGCCAATAAACAGATAAAAATATGCTCAACATCATCAGCCATCAGGGAAAATGCAAATCAATACTACAATGAGATACTATTTGACACCCACAAGGATGGCTATCATCAAAAAGATTATAAGTGTTAGTAAGAGAAGGAGAAACTGGAATCCTCATACACTGCTGATGGGAAAGTATAAAGCTAAAGCTGACTTGGAAACAATCTGGTAGTCCTTTGACAATTAAACATAGAGGGGCGCCTGCGTGGCTCAGTTAGTTAAGTAAGGTTAAGTGCCTGCCTTTGGTTCAGGTCATGATCTCAGGGTCCTGGGATAATGTCCTGCATCTGGCTTCCTGCTCAGTGGGGAGCCTGCTTCTCCCTCTACACTACCCCCCTCATCGACCCTCATGATCTCTCTTGCCATCCGCAACAACATGGATGGAGCTAGAGAGTATTATGCTAAGCAAAATTGGTCAGTCAGAGAAAGACAAATACAAGTTGATTTCACTCATATGTAGAATTTAAGAAACAAAACAAGGAAGCAAAGGGGGAAAAAAGTAAGAGAGAGAGAGAGACAAATTAAGAAATGAGTCCTTAAGTATAGAGAACAAACTGTTACCAGAGGGGAGGTGGATGGGGGGCAAAGGGGAGGAATGGGTTAAACAGATGATATGGACTAAAGAGTGCTCTTGTTGTGATGAGAACCTGGAGATGTATGGTGTTGCTGAATCACACTATATTATATACCGAAAACTAATATAACACTGTATATAACACTGCTAACTGGAATTAAAAAAAAACTTAAAAAGATGGCATTTCACCAAATTAATCCATGAATTAATCTAAATGCTATTGATTAATTTCAATCAACACGATTTCAATCAAAATCCAATTATGTTTCATCATTAAGTTTCACATGATCATCGTATAATTCTAGGCAAAGAGCCAAGAATAAATATCATAAATAGAAAAGAGAAGAAAGGAGGAGAATGAAGAGAAGTAAGAAGAGGAGAAAGAAGAGAAACTTAACAATATTTGTGGTAGTATGGGATTAACTTACAAACTGAACAAAAGAGATACAGATCTATACACATAAAGATATCTGATACAGTCAAGTGCCTTTATTAACAGTAGTTATGTTCTATAAAATCACCACAAACATTTAATTATTGCTCCCAGAAGAAATACAGGATTAGGTTCCTGTAAGTTGAGGTCAATTTTGTTAATCAAAATTCCATTTGCATTACATTTGTCAATGTCCTTGTAAATCAAGACACTCTTATAACAATGAAAAATCTGCTTTTTCACGGGACCCTTTTCTAACTCTTAGCAAGTATTTTTAAAATTCTTCCACCTCATGATCTACAAAACCTGCCTTGCCTGTATATTTAACATTTTTCACATTATAGTACCTTACTACCTTTTGAAACAGGAAGCCAGCCAAGCACTAGCAAAAAAGGCTTAACATTTTCCTGACCCTTGCTAAACATGAAAGGAATTTCTTTGGCTTTCAGCCTCACAACAAAGCTATCCGCCACACTTTTTTTATGAGTCTTCATTCACGAGTCCACAAATTTAGCTTTTAACCTTCCCATAGCTTCATCACACACTACAAGTGTTATTTTAACACTTTTTGGGAATGACCTCATGTACAGATCAGTGAATTTCCTCTCCCTCTTTCTGAATGTACCATATGAGTGATCCATTACCACTGAAGTCACAGCCAACAACACTATAATCCATGAATGAACAAAGCATATCTAACAATGAATTTTCTCTGGAAGGCACAGCAAAGCCTTCTGGCCCTTAGGAACACCAGACAGCACTTTGGTGGTACATTTGGGGGCCACTTTAAATAGCAAAATCAAACAAAAAGAACAAAAATGCAAAAACATAGCATTAAATACACCCCAAAAAAATACTTGATTAAAGTATGAGAGCTGGAAGAGAGGGCAGAACTTTGCTCTAACCTCAGCTGATGCACTCTGCATGTTCATACACACCTGCAAATACCCAGGAAAAACTACAAGTATTAATTGTGGATTCAAAACTTTAGCAAGTAGCCAAATTTGCAAATAAAGAATTTGCAAACAATGAGGATCAACTATAAATGACAGAATTAGCATATTACAAATCAGTAAGAAAGGAATGAATCACTACCACAAACAAAAATCAATTCCAGATGGATTAGAGATCAAATGTAAAAAGGAAAACTTGAGAACTAATAAACTTTAGACGACCTAATAGAAAAACTGGCAAAAAATAATCCATACACAGTTCTCACAGCAAGAAACATGGAAAGAAATCAACAGATTTTTTAAAAGCTCAATCTCACCTAGTAATCCAGGCAATGCAAATTAAGGTGAGTTACAAATTCAGCACTTGAAGTTAAAAATCAAAGAATGAATGTAAGTATTTAATTTTACTTTCACCCAAAACTCCAACAGAACTATAGTGATGGTATTTTTTTTTTTTAAGATTTTATTTTATTTGACAGATCACAAGTAGGAAGAGCAGCAGGCAGAGAGAGGAGGAAGCAGGCTCCCCGCTGAGCAGAGAGCCCGATGTGGGGCTCGATCCCAGGGCCCTGGGATCATGACCTGAGCTGAAGGCAGAGGCTTAACCCACTGAGCCACCCAGGCACCCTAGTGATGGTATTTTTTAAAGGACAAAAGCCACAAAGATGGGGAAAGTCACAAAAAAAAAAAAAAATTAAAGATTTTGTTAACTAGGAAGCATATGGACACCTGGTTAACTCATCTAGTAGCGTTAAGAAAACCAAATCACAAGAAGGCAATGGGGAAAGCTGAGCATCAATCCAAGTAACACCAGAGAATCCTCAAAAGGCTCAGAAACCAGCAGCACCTGGTACCTTGGTTAACTGGAGACAGACGATTAGAAGTGCTCTCCCAGGGGTACATAGGTGGCTCAGTCAGTTAAGGGTCTGCCTTCCATTCACTTGTTGAGCCCAGGATTTTGGGATCAGCCCCGTATCAGGCTCCCTGCTCAGTGGGGAGTCTGCTTCTCCCTCTCCCTCTGCCCCTCCCCTGCTTGAGCACACGTGCTCGCTCGCTCTCTCAAACAAATAAAATCTTTTTAAGAAAAAGAGTATGAAGAACCTCAGACTATTTCTCCAAGGGTTTTAGAGAAAGGTAGAGAGAGATGCTGATGGCTGAACAAGGTGTTGCTTTCTGTCTTTGTTTTGAGGAGAAGGAGGGGTCTGCTAAAACTCTACATTACATACTACTTCAGATATATCTCTGATGGATCAAAAATTCAACATGTATCTTTTACTGCAAAGTCTTGGCAAAAGAGAAGTTTCAATTATACCTAATATCTATATTTACACTTGGATAGACAAATATTTTCTCAAGATCAAAGAAATTTTTATCATTTAAAACTTGTTTTAAAACATAAAAATAAAAAAATAAAATTTTTTAAATATTTAATATATGCTTTAGAAAATCAGATAAAAGATATTATATGATGTTCAGCAATACAACATTTTTAAAATAGTCTACAAAAACAGCAAACGAAAATGAATTCTTCATTGAAAAGATATTCTTCAAAACTTTTTTCTGCAATCATTTTGAACCACTTTGTTAAATATTTATGAGTAAAATTCAATTTGCTTTAGCTATTTTCCCAGTTGTGAAAAACACAGCAACATCACCACACTTTTTGTAAATACTCATCATCTCTGATAGCAGACAATTTTATTCTCTTAACTTGTGCCTCCTCTACTGGTTTAAAAGTAGAACAACATAAAACCAGGTTTTGCATCTGACTGGTCAAATAGCAACTAAGTGTGTTTTTTTTAATTTATGTCTATTTCTGACATTTTATAAAATTTATCAGATTCTGCATCAAGAATCTTGAGAACAAAAATATCTGGCAGACATTTTTTTAATCTCAAAATATTATTTTCTCTCCTAAAGATTAAGAGTATATTTCAATGATAGCATATCACATTTGTGTTATAACTGAAATTTTTCTACATAAATAGAAAACACCCATTATTATACTAATATAACAACAGACTTACAATGCTGTATATCTGTCCATTGCAGATTGCACATCTCTACGGTAAACTGTTCGAAGAATGACCATGACAGGGTCAAACTCCTGATCCCAGACTTCAGCTATTATTCAAAAGAAAGTAGAAACAAAACACTGACTTCAGTCAATCCTTGATGACTAAGTACATTTAAGTATATTTTAAATTCATAAGATGGGATAGTTTGATTTGATTATATATTTGCTTTAATAAGCCTGATATTGTGACTACTATTCTAAGTCAAAAATCATAATTTCATCATTATGAATATTAAGTCAGCAAGAACTAATGAGCAAAAACTATTATAATGTAAAAAAGATGTTATAATGTGATAAAGCTTCACCATAAAAGTTTAGTTCATCTTTTTTTTGTAAAGTGCCAACAGAATGTAAGAAACACAATGCATTAACAACTTTGAAAATATTCAGATATATAAATATGAAAACTAAATTAAAAAACTAATGAGCTATTGATTTTTAAGAGTCTTACTTTGTAATATTTTGGTTTGTAAAAATTGATCATTGATCACCTTACCGTCTTCACAGTTAGGAACCATCACCTTATGTGTGGTATGTGTATAACTGGTAGTACACAGATGATTTTAAGTGTACAAAGATTTTCATTTTAATAACTATACAATTATAACATATATTAGGAAATTGTACATTGTATATAAAACCCATAATCTCACTAATAATCATGCTCAGCAGGAGGTAAAGTTTAAAAAAGTGAATCCATTTAGGGATATACAGTTGTATATACAGTTTATTATATACAACTAGGTATATAATAAAAGAGATGATATTTAGATGTGGTAAAAATCTACAACATGGCCTGAGAATAGTAATTTTAGAAACCACTGCCTCAAGAGTATATCTTGCCTAGATATATTTTTTCCCATCTCATTCTAGCAAAATTCTTAGCATCTGAAAACATTAAGAAGCTTAAGTTTCTCTCTATACATCTACTGTAATTTCAACTTCCTGGCATAAGAAACTGTTAACAATTGTCCCTATTTTCATGTAACAGACCATTCATTCATCCTAAATTATCTCTCATAAGTATGACTTAAGATCCTTAAGACAGGCCTCCACAAAGACAAAGACCTTTGTTATTATATCTATTATCATTTCTTGTCCTTCACTGTTAAATCTATTAATCTGTACAACTAAAATGCCAATGTTTTTTACCAGAATTATAAAACCATAGCAACAGAAGAAAACTTCAGTGATTAACTAGTCTAGCAGACTTTAGTGTTCTGTGGACTCCCACAGAAGTTTAACTGGGGCCACTTCAGGAGCAAGGAGATGACAAAACAGATGAGAAATGATGTCCACTACCCACACCCACATTAACAAGAGCAGGTCTGCTTTCACTGGTTTTGTGTAACAGATTTACTTAAGGTTTAGTTCCCCAAAACTAAAGGTTTATTTCAACCACTTTTAAAAAGCCTTTAAAACTCTGATGTATTCCAATTCTGTCTTTTTACAAATAAGTCAAATCCAAAGTTAAGAGACTGCTTTTCTCAATATCACACAAACTAACACAATTCAATACTGTATTTGTATATGAAAACTAGTTTCTTAAATCTAATCTTCAAAAGCCCAATGCTCCATCTCAGTGTCTCAAACTTTACTGTGCATGACAATCACCTTATAGAGCTTGTTAAAAATACAGATTCCCAGAATCTATCCCCAGAGATCCTGATGAGAGCAGATTGGGGCTGAGGCATAGAAACCCATATTTTTAATAAGGACCACAAGTAAGTATGACAAAGGTAATCCTCACATTACACCTTATTAAGCACTGTACTACTCCACACCAAAAATTCACCTGAACTTTAGATGCAAAGTATTCTCTACAATACAATAATTCTCTGTGCTTTTCCTTTAATGGAATATACACTGCAACCAGAGACTCTGGATTCACCTTTGTGATCTCCTGGAAAAAAATCCCACATGATCAGGTTTATTCTGCTGTGTTTTGCCAAACAGGATGTGCTATTTACAGCTTCTATGTGGGCATCAGTTTTCAGTTAGACAAGCGTCCTGAGGAAGTCAAGAAGCATGTAAGTGCCTCCTTCAGAATTTTAACTTAGATTAGTGAACATGTGAAAGTAAGAAAGACAAGACTGTGAATGAAGACTTCACCTACTTCTGGCTCTTGTCAAGCATGTCTCTATGAAGCCAGGGAGAAAACCTTGGAAAACCAACCACTTAAGGAAAAAAAAATGTAAGAAAATGTAATCAATATTCTATACAGATTTTAATTTTAAACTGTTTCAAGTTAAATTTGGGGTGCTGAGAACTATTTCAAAATCAAATTTAGAGAGCAAATACATTTTTAAAAAATTTTAAGTATATAGTTTTATAATTTCTGGCTCATTTAGAGTTGATTCACTTATAAAAATGAACTAGAATTTATATATAAAGTTCCTCTTCTAATTTAGAGTCATCTAAAACAGTTTACTATAACATAAAACCATAGATTTGTAAATAAATAGAAGCAATATCACCATATACCATAAAAACTCAAACCTGAATACATAAAAAGCAAAACATTTTCTTGTACTATACACAACAAATCACATTCAGAAAACTGATTTTGAAAGAAAATGTTCATGCATATAAACATACCTTTAGGAGTATACATGCCTTGCTGCATAGAACCTCCAGGTTCAAAAACAGGAGCCTTAAAATCAGCTACAGCTGAAAGAACTGATTCAAAACTGTAACTGCCTGGAATAATGCCACTTTTGGGATTTGGATTTTCTGGAATATGATGTATGTGTCAAGAAAAAAAAATGCCTAAATCCAGCTTTTAAGTATAAAATTACCAAGGTACTCTAGTTTCTAACTACTTTTGTTAAAACGGAGTAATTGGCTGTAATATATAAAATTGGCCACAAGAGGGCTATACAGTACAAGAGCTCAATAATAACTTTTTATTAATTGTGAACTTTTAAAATATTTTTAATCTAGAAGCCTATTAATAAATTAAATGCTAAAGTAGTTCCCAAGTTTATTTCCCCCCAAAGAAATTAGCTAAATCTCAGGAAATGAAAAAAAAAGTTTTTTAAAATTTATCTCCATTTTCTTCATTTTATAAATGTTATACCTTCCTTTAGAGAATCAAAAACAGTATGCTAAAAATTAGCCAAGATTTTTATGAGCAGACTATTTTTCCAAAAACGCAAAATGTCATCCTCAAAGAAAAATGAAAACGATGCTAAACAAATTTTTACAAAGAAGAAAACCAGAAAGCCACAAAGATCCTTTTTCCATTGATTTCATATGAATTAATTAATTTTTTAAATTCAAAGTTACAGAAAAGTGCTTTTGCTCAGTTACAGCACTATATACATATATAACAGTTGAATGAAATTATCAAACATCAAATTGATGCCACTTATGAAAGTCTTCAAGGTTATCACATAGGCATTCCACAGAAGTTATTTCACAAAATTGTAGCCAATTATTCCATATTCATAATATGCAAAGTAAACTCAGTCCAAATTTTACAAAATAAATTCTTATCACAAAATAACACAATCTTTGTCTAAAATTTTATTAACAATAACTTAAAAAATAATAAAGTATGTATTATATATTCTGTCCTACCCAAAGAACCATAAGTTTTGTAAGTTTATAGATGATATAATCTTTGCCCTTAAAAACCTCTTGGCTTGGGGCACGTGGGTAGCTCAGTCGGTTAGGTCTGAGCCCATGTCCTGGGATCAAGCCCCCTCATTCGGGATCCCTGCTCTGCGGTGGAGTATGCTGCTCCCCCGCTCCCTCTGCCTGCCGAAGTCCCTGCTTGTGCTCACTCTCTCTCTTTTGGTCAAATAAAATCCTTAGAAAAAAAAGAAAAGAAAAAAAAAAAAACCTCTTGGTTTAAGACTAAATTCTAAGGGATGCCTGGGTGGCTCAGGCCATTGAGTCTGCCTTCGGCTCAGGGTCCTGGGATCAAGCCCTGCATAGGGCTCCCTATTCACTGAAAAGCCTACTTCTCCCTCTCCTTCTGCCCCTGCCCCAGAGCATGCTCTCTGTCTCTCTCTCTCTCTCTCTCTCTCTCTCTCTCTCAAATAAATAAATAAAATCCTTAAAAAAAAAAAAAAAAAAAAAGACTGAATTCTAAGAAAAAAAAATCCTTAAAATATTTAAAACCCTGGTAATAATTATAAAGTATGCCTTTAAATTTAAGCCATGAATTCCAACCTAGGTATACAGTAAAGTAGACCTAGCTGCCTTTTACAAAATGTCCAGCTTCCTTTCAGGAATGCTGTCCTAGAAGGGCAGATCCTTGGGTACTCAGAGCTATCAGTTCTGAAGTCTAACCAAGGCCTGTAAGAGCTCCCTAAGAGGTAACAATGGCAAAAACATCTGCCACTAGCCCTGAACACACAGTTGAACAAACTGAAGTTCTTTTCCATACTATTTTTCAACTCTAAAAATATTTTTTAACCACAAAAGTGATATATCTTTAATCTGTACAAATCATTGTTTAGATCCTATATTTAACAAAAAATTAAACTTTTAAAAGGATATAAGGTCCAACAATGAACTATGTGTCCTGTCATTCATACACAACTGGGCTACCATTTCTGCTCTGAGAATCTCATCATCAGACATCCCTAAAACAATTAAAAAGAGAATTAATAAACCTGAAAATATATAAATTTTAAAGAAACAACTTACCACACTTTTTATTAAGCTGTTTTACTAAAAATGAGAAGCTTCAAAAATTAAAGAGCAAAGACTGCAATGCCCCAAATATAACCAGTTTAAATAACCTACTGTTTGCAGCTCCCTTAAATAAAGGGTTTTTTAAAGGATATTCTAAAAGGAGTAATAACTATACATCATGTCAAGAATTTGAAACAATGTTTAAAAATATCCAAATCCTTTTCTTTTTTCCATAAGCAAGTTACTACCACAGGGAGAGGGGAGGAAAGGGAGGATAGTTAATACCCAAGCATTAGTATGAGTGCTTTTTACCTAAATGTAAACGAAGACTTAAAAGAATCACAAGAAATGTAAGAGCGCCTTCTAACATCGATCTCTCATGCTCTGCATCAAGTACTGTGTTTTGATGTTGTGACGCCATTGTCAACAAATCCACTACCTTAAATCTATAATAAGAAATATTTGAGACAGATTTTTTTTAAGTTAAAACAAAATCAACTTAAATTCCAAATACTTCCTAAAATACCTGTCTTAATAAACTATGCTTACCTTTCAAAGACAGATGAAATAAAATAATCTGGGTCAAGTCTAGAAGCACAAACCTTTAAAAGACAAAAAAAAAAGAAAAGAAAGAAATTTTATTTCTCAATATTGTTTCATTTCTTGTATTTATTATGTTGTTTGTTTGTGTTCTGTATCTTATGTTTTGACATTGGGGGCGGGGTGGCTTGCGACATGGAGAGAGACCACCTCTCTCCCATCTACCTAAGAATAGTAAATATTCCTAAAGCTATTCCTAAAGACAGTAAACAACTTACCTAGCAGTAAACATCTTACAAGCAAGTCAATCACCGCCTTTATCTAACTCTCACACAGCAAGCCAATATTCCCCCTGCCCTAAACCAACCCAAGACCAAGCACCAAATCGGGAAGGACAGCTCTGATGCCCCAAAGTCCACAGGAATTATTCAAACTAACCAATCTTAAACTGTTTCCCCTGCCCTGTCTTGTCCTTCCTATGCAAATGCCAAAAAAGGTTCTGCTCTAGGATTGCCCCTTGCCCCTGCTCCTACCACTTGACCAAAATCGAATGCTTCCCCTGCGGCTCTGTGTGGCATCGAATGCCTCCTTCTCTTGGGAAATTTAAGTAATAAATTCTTTCAAGAGCAATGACCTCTTTGTGTCATCACTGAGTCACCTCTCTAAACTAATCCCATATTTGTAAAGTACAACATCTGCATTATCAAGTTGGCTTACCTGTAGTAAGTAAATGTCAGGGTCAATCATGGAATTACAGAAATGAGACTGGACATAGGTCATAGCTTGTCCTTTGATTTGTAGACCATTTCTTACCCACATATTGCTATGGATTTCAGCAAGACTTGCCTAGTAAACCAAAAATTAAGTAAATTAAAGAAGTCTTCTAAATTTAATCTTTATGAAAAACATGTTACAGTGAACAATCATTTCAAAATATTTTATAAATTGATCAGAGCATAAGCATGACATCCTGACCCATGTTAGTTTAAAATATCCAATTCAAATACATATTTTAAAATTTTTAAGTGCTCATTATGCTTTATACAATCCCTTCTTTTGGAGTTTATACATGAGTTAGTTTTCCATGATTCCAGGAAACACTTATAACAATTTTCAATGAAATCTTTCATAAGGAATCAATGACACTTACATTTAACTCCTTCATTCTCAAGAAAAAAAAAAATTAAGTTATGCTTAAAGAAACACAGCAATAAGTATAAAACAAAGTTGACTGTCCCAAACTAGTCATTTTTCAAATAATTAGCAGGTAACAGAAGGTCAGATTAGAATGTTTCATAACATTAATGTTTAATTCTTCATGTATTTGTGTCCTGCATCAATTAAAACCAAGCACAGTCATAACTTCATCTCTTACTTGCTCTTAACCTGCAGTGTGAAAGTTCAATGATAATTAAAAAATCTAAAATAGCCAGGAAAAATAAATTAAAGTGCCAGTCCATCTACTATACATAAGCAGTTGGCCCACAAAATTATAGTATTAGAACTGAAAGAAACCATAGTGCTTATGCCTGAAAATCCTCTTTTCTCTCCTCTCATTTTTCAGATGGGGAAACTAAGAATCAAATTACCCCAAACAACATGGTAATTAAATTGATGTAGTACTAATGCTAGAAATCTGTTGGGTCTCCTGACTCTCAAAACAGTGCTGTAGTATGTTAAAAACTTCCCTATGAGGGTCGTCGAGGGAAGGGAGGGAAAAATGAAACAAGATGGGACCCGGGAGGGAGACAAACCATAAGAGACTTTTAATCTCAGGAAACAAACTGAGGGTTGCTGGGGATGGGGACAGGGTGGTTGGGTTATGGACATTGGGGAGGGTATGTGCTATAGTGAGTGCTGTGAAATGTGTAAGACTGATGATTCACAGCCCTGTACCCCTGGGACAAATAATGCATTATACGTTAATAAAAAAAAATAAAAAAGAAAGAAAGAAACTTCCCTATGAGTAAATACAGTGAAAAGAATTCCTGGGAAATTGTAACTAAATATAAGTTTCATAGGACAAAAAAAAAGACCAAACTATAATCTAGCAAAAATACCTAAGTTTAAAAAAAATTTTTTTCAAACATTTTGGCTATAAGAACAATGTAAATTTAAGGCATTAAATTAAAATAAAGAACAAACCACATAACCAAGAAATTCAATTAAAATAAAAGCCTGGGGGCGCCTGGGTGGCTCAGTGGGTTAAGGCCTCTGCCTTCGGCTCAGGTCATGATCCCAGGGTCCTGGGATCGAGCCCCGCATCGGGCTCTCTGCTCAGCGGGGAGCCTGCTTCCTCCTCTCTCTCTGCCTGCCTCTCTGCCTACTTGTGATCTCTGTCAAATGAATAAATAAAAAAAAAAAAAAAAATCTTTTAAAAAAATAAATAAATAAATAAATAAAATAAAATAAAATAAAATAAAAGCCTGAATACATACTTGAATTTGGAGTGGGTGAATCATTAGTTTCATTAACATTTCCTGATCAGGTA